CTGCTCATTTTAAAGTTTTCTGTAATATTTTTAAGACTTTGCTATCCTAGTTTACATGCTGTTGAAAACCGGTTTACCTGGAGACTTCATATCACGCGGTTACATCATTGTTGAAATAATAACAAACTTTTGTTCTGTTCATGGATAAAGAAACAAAACCAAAGCAACAGTATACACTAAGGAAAGACAGAATACTGCTCACTTATGGGAAATATATAGTGTATTTGCAGTTTTTGTTTCATGTTGATGTGCATTAATGTATTTTCACACACACACACACACACACACACACACACACACTCTTTTAATTCAAGGTAGTCAACTGTGGAATAAAAGAAATTCAGAAATGATTGTCCTGCAACATAAATGTAATTATAAAATCCTGAATTACATGCTAGTTATATGTAATGTATACATTTTGTAAACATTTACACTTAATTTCCCAAAACCATTCTAGTTCCCTTTTTTTTAAGTGTGCCGTTTGTAAACGAATGGTCTAAGAGCATCAACGGAGCCACCGAGTGCTTTGTTAGGCAAATTCCGACTTCAGTTTTCTTGAAGTCGAGCATGGGGCTGCTGTCTGCCGCACCTCCCAGTTCAGTCTTCACTTTGAGGAATGGCTTACCATTTGCTCTCTATTTCTTGGAGTGCTGTTGTAGAAGTCTTGGGTGTAGAGGAATGTTGCAGCATTACAATAAGAAATGTCTCTAGTTCTTCAGAGAGCAATGAAGTTTGAAATATGCTTCATAATGTGCATTCCAGATCCTCAGGCTAGGTTCACACCATTTTCTGGATCAGATCTGGAATGCAGTGCATTGTGTTTTGCCACTTTTTTACCGCAATATTTTTTTTTCCGCGTTCGGGAACATTTTGGGGGGCATTTATGAAAGCAATTACGACAGTTTTAGCCTCTTAGATAATTTTTTTTTTTTTATGTGCAAATCTGTCTTTTAACATGTGCCCCTGTTTTCATCTGAGCTTGCATTACTTTTCCAACTGCACATGTTTTTCCTGCACATGTTTTCTTCAGAGCCTGGTATATTATTTCAATTGCATGTTTTTTGCACGTGTTTTGCACCTGTTTTCTTCAGAGATTGCAATACTTTGTCAACTGCACGTTTTTTGCACCTGTTTTCATCTGCACTTGTTCTGGGGCTGTATGAAACTGGAGCATCACCTAAGAAAACAATCGCAACTTAAGAGGTCCCCATTACCAGTTAAGCTTTTTGCCTGGAGTTACAAGTCTTCTTTCCTGGAGTCTATTAAACCTCATTTATCAACAGCATTACACTAGCTTGATAAATCTGGTGCAAATAGATTCTGTGCAAGTTCAAACACTCGCAATTGCTATGATAAATTCCCCCTCAACATATCTAATGAAAATTACATTTATTATCAAGGCTTGGACTGCATTGATAAATAAGGTGCAAATAACGTGGAAAATGTGTCACTTAAAGAAAAGTGGAGCAACTCCCTTGATAAATTCCCCCCTTTGTGTTTTTTTTGGGGGGGTTTAAGCTTAAAATGGGTTTTTAGGTGCTGTCCAGTGCATTTTGTGTATGCGTTTCGCTGCCAAACCCTCAAACATTTTGCACCTCAGCTGGCCACGCCATTTTTGCAATTTTTTCCCATTTGATTTTCAATTGCTGCGTTGCTAGCGTTTGTAAAATAAAAAAACCAAAACCGTATATTTTCTGAAAGCACAGGCCCGGTAGAATAAAAAGATGGTTCTACTAAATTTATAGGCCCTGCGATAATTGCGCAAATGTTTCTCAAATTAAGATTAAAGCGATAAAAATACACAATTTATAAAGCTTCACTGCACCAAAAAAAAATAATTTCTGACTAAAACTGTATTGAGTTAATAAATAACAAAATATTTGCAAATCTTAAATTGCGCCTTTTTGCAAAAAGGTAAAAAAAATTAACGCAAAACTGTAAATAAGCGACTCATGTTAAAAATAGTTTTTGCGCTGTTGTATTGTGATTAAAATGATGCAAGCGTATATTTAATTGCAATACAAGGTATCACAACGCACGGCAATGCGTTGCCATGCGCTGCCACAGTTAAATTAATGTTTTTTTTGTTAAGAGAAAAATCATACACTGCGATGTGTTCCAACAACGCACTGCATGTGCATGGAGATACCAATTCAGAAACTGGTGATAGTAAATATTTTACTATCACCAGTTTCTGAATGAGGAAAAGCCTCTGCAGTGAGTGTTTCTCCCATTGAGAAAATCATGAATGAACAGGAAGGGATGTAAATCACATCCTGTTCATTCATAACTGGGGACACATAGTACTATGTGTCCCCAGTTATTTACAAACACTGGAGTGATCAGACAAAAACTCCGGTGTTTGTCCTCCATAAAGAGGATCAGTAAATATCAGTGATATTTACCGATCCCTCGCTCGGCCACGCACACAGCCGCTGTCATCCGGAAACTGATAGGATGACAGTGGCTGCTCTCTCCTCCCCGCTGGGCTGCTCTCATGCCGCTCGATCACCGTGATCGAGCTGCTCGTTCCTCCACCCCTCCCCCGCTGGTTATCGTGATAGAGCGGCTCCAGGCAGGGATGAGAGGCTGAACATGCCTGCGGTGGTGGAGGGGGGAAGCCTGGACTTTTTGTTAATGGCGGTCATCAGCGGCTTGTGAGCCGCTGATGACCGTTATTAATTGAAAGGGGACAGCGTGGTGAACATTTCTGATATAAGTTCATGGTCGCTAAAGCAGAACTGTAAATGCCAGCGCCATAAGGCATACTGACCTGGCATATGGTGGGCTCTGGGAATAAAGTAAAACCTAAATCAAAGAAGGGCAGATGAATAAAGCCAGGTATAAGCAGTTTGAATTTTGGCTGGTTCCTGATGAACCAGCTGAAATTCATATCATGGGTGCCGCTGTGGGCACCCTTCCGCCCGGCATCCCTCGATCAGCTGATTAAAGGAAACGGTTAGAAAATTCTTCACCAAACAGAGCCTGCAGCCGGTCAGATGCTGGCTCCATTTGTGTATGCAGATAGAAGCCGCTGGCCAATAGGAACAGTGGGGCATTAGTCTATCAACGCTCGTAAGCCTTGATGGAGTAATCTGTTCCATTTTTTTATAAACAAAAAAAATAAAAATAATGTATACCCAACTTTAAACTGTACATATCTGGTGGTTTCTATACACAGCCTTTATATTTAAAAGTGTAAAATGAAGTACTGTTTTCACTTTGAATGCTAACCCTATAGCCAGCACTAGAAGAACTGCAGGGCGCCATACAGTGGGGCCCCTTTGGACTCTCTTTATAGTTATCAGATTAACCCTTTAGTCTCTGGGATAAAATGCTGTGATGTCCTTCTGTGTTTATGTTGGATTACTTCAGTTTTTCTCTTTTGATCATTACAGGTTTCCTTCATTCTGCCTCCTGTGTTGAATTTGAAGTCAAAGATTCAAAAAACCAAACCTGCATATTGGCCAACCTCTCTGTTAATTTCATGGTTGAATACAATATTAGTGTTACTACACAGGTAATGTGAATAGGAATATTCAGTCTCATTTTATCTATGCTGTTAATTTTTAGGTGTCTTTCATTAATGTTCACCTTGTTCGTGATGAACTCATTCGGTGTAGGCAGAAACACACAAGCAAAGATTTGGCACAAAAACAAAGCCATGGCCAAAATATTAGATCATTTATAAGTAAACTTTTGGTAAATTAAAGCGCCTACTAACATAAAATATAATTATTATTTTTTTATTTCTGGTATGGTTATATTAATGGAGCGCTACTTACAAAAAAGCCCAACTGAAGATTCAGCTTAAATTGGCAAAATGCATTCCCGGTCACAGACCCAATAGACAATCTATCCCCTGCAAACATGCTGCAGAGAAGGACCCTTACGCTGTGTGGAAGCAGTGGTTTCTCTGCAGAGGTCCAACATGCCTTTGCTGAGTCGGACCTAAGGTTCTACAATTGTCAAAGATTACATTCCCTAGTGAGTAAGCAGTATCTTTGACTCCGCAGGGGGGCATTTTAGTCTTCTGCTTCCACACACAGAGCATGGGTCCTTCTCTGCAGCATGGCTTTTCTATTTGGGCTGTGCCTGTTTTCTATAGAAAACAAACTGTAAGACATGCCTTGGTGTGCTATTGTAAAGGGCACCCTAACACACCACTAACGTGTGCTGCCATACATAAAATACCGCAGATCCAGTTGTAGGTCTGTTGTGGTGCATTAGGCGGCCTATTCATATAAATGGGCTGCCTCAACACAACCCACATGGAAACACGCTCCCAACAGACTTGACTAGTTTGAATTGGCTCTTAAACTGAAAGTTTATTTAGGCTTAAATGCCACAGCCCAATTACGCCTTTTTTTTCCCCCCGCCCCCTTTTTTTTTTTTTTAAACACTCTCCCAGAAATTGAGTTTCATTGTCCTATAGTTCACATCCACCACAGTTCTTGTAGCGTCTGACTTTTTATTTTCCCCTAGACCAACAAAGTTCTTTTAACTATACACACTTGTGGCCCTGGTTAACCGCTAGGGCCACTAATCCATTGTTCAGTTATTGCAGTCTTTTTAACTTTATTTTTTAGTCCAGGCCACAATAAAATAAAACTAACCAACTACTATACATTCCCTTTTTAAAACCAGCTGATGCACAAAAGAATAATGGTAGCCAACGTTTGAGCAGCTTAAAATTAGTATGTAGAGTGACAAAGCTCATCTCCAGCATTGGCAGCATTAAGGCTGTCCTCCTAAGGGTTCTGTTAGTTTTGTTGCTTCTTGGAGTTCGAGTTTACAAAGTCTATTAGAATACAAATCCGTAGACTAACTAACTGATAATAATGAATCCTGATAGTTTGTATGTGTGTAATACATGTGACGATTTGGTGTTCTGTATATTCTTTGATATGCCTTTTCCAGATATTATCAACATATGAATGAACCATACACAGTTATCAGCAGATGCATTTTGCAGCACATTGGTCCTTAAACTCAGCTAAAAAGCTGAGGTGTGGCACATGTGCTGGACAATTTTATACAGTGTATGAAATTCCTTTACAACTACGTATTTTATACCAGAGAGTTCAGAGGAGGTAAACCATACATAGAAAAAAAAAAAGCTTCAAGAAGAACAATTTGTCCATATCGCGAGCTACAGCTCGCGGTATACTGAGACGCCGAGACAGATCCCGACATTACTGTCGAGATCCACCCCAGCTTCGTGATGGGCAGAGCCAGCTGTGTCCGCCCCCTCCCCTGTCCATTCCGCCAGTCAGCACTGGAGGAGCGGGCAGGGGGGGAATCCCTGCAGGGAGCCGTGAGTGACAGTCACGGCTCTTTGCAGAGACATGATCGAGCGACGGTATGTGTTTGCTCACTTCCCGATCTATTGAGCCGACGTGTGACAGTTTCATTGTCACACGTCGGCTCGAACTATGAGGATGAGTGAAAATCACTCACCTCATAGTTCTCTAATCTTCTGTCTGGAGATACAGCAGTTAGGGGTTCATTTTATAAGAGTTCCATCAGGTGGATGCCATTCACATGGCACTAGCACCTCTAGATTGTGCTGCTGAGTATAGGAAATTCCTGTATTTGCCAGCACCATCTAAGGTGCGCTAGTGCCGTGTGAACAGCATCTGCCTGGCTATATGCCAGGTGGAGTTTTTATAACATGAACTGCTTACTGTTCATTTTTTTTAATCTTTTTTTAATGAAGCCCTATATGTAAGGAAATCCTCTCTCAAACGGGTGTAATTGGAATAAGTGCCCACATCAGAAGATTTCTGCTCTATTCCTCGACTGCTGACAACTAATTTTCCATCTATGTTTGTCTGGGTAACAGTCAACAGTAAAAATAAAGAGAATAAATCTCCCCAGAGGGGAAAAGTCAACAATAAAAACCTAACAACAATCCGTCTTGCGCGGTCTCCTTGTTGCAAGTTATGCAATTGTCACTTGGCTACTGGTGGTTCTGTGTGCATTCAGTATAAAAGAGAAACCAGCGCACCATATGCTGTTGAGGTCTTACGGAGACGCCATGTCAAACTTCCCATGTTTGTTTTAGGTTCCCTTTTATCAAGGTGACCAGCAGCAATAAAATCCTGACAAAGGTTCCAACCTTCCTCATTGCATCTGCGTTTTGGCTTTAGTTGCTTTTAAGTGTTGCTGTGTTTTATCTTTACCACATGGAAAGATAACACAAGCGGGTCCCTGGTGTGCGTAATTGACTTCATTTCTCTTTACAGCTTAATTTCAAGTGAAATATTGTTAGAAGTTTTGTGCTAGCAATAAAGAGATGTCATACTAAAAAAAAAAAGGGGCTGAATACAAAGTAAATGTTTACATTTTAAAAATGTGGTTCACTTATTTAGTTTACTTTTTAAAATTGTCTAGGAGACAGCCAAGTTTGAGTTACCAGCAGCCTCGTCTGTGGGATCAAAGAGCACCTGTGGTGATGAAAAGGAAGCGGCACTTCTAGTCATTGTGTTTGGAATTCACTCCCTCAGCATAAACTTCACCAAGTCTGTTACAGAGTATCGTGTCGATGAGCTGGTATTTACATACAACCTTTCAGATACACTTATTTTCCCTAAAGCTTCAGAAAATGGTGAGTGAGATTATGTGATTTTTGTTATGCCAAGTTGTAGCAGTGTGTTTTATTTATACACCTTAACACAGCGGTCACCAACTGGTGGTCCGTGAGAAAATGTTGGTGGTCCCCGGGCCCCTCTGATGCCGTGCAGGCTGGGCCATCATTGAAGCGGCTCGGAGGCTCCGGGGCTGCCTCTCACTGACTCAAGCAGCGACTGTCACAAGGAATGCGCGGCTCTTAGTACAGTGCCGGCTCTGCAGTAGGCCGGGCATCTCTTCAGTACCCGGACTGAGCAGTCTGCAGAGTAGCCAGGTAATAGTGGCTCAGTGTGGGGGAATGGGGTGGTTGGGGGCAGTGCTGAAGCTGGGGGGTGGCGGCATGTGCCCCAGACGCTGCTGGCCAGGCTAGTGGCAGATTCGATAGGGGGGAAGCAATTAATATTACTGGGGCGGGTGGCACTGCTCCCTCCACCAGCGCTGCCACTCCTGGTGGCACACCCGCATGTATGTATGTTCCGAAAGGTTGGCGCCCGCTGCCTTAACACACACAAATTTATTTAATTTTTCACTTTGTATTCCAGGAACTAAGGAAGTATCTACAAAAAATAGTGCAATATCTGCCAAAACAAACACTGTGTACATTTGTTCCAACCCCCATCTCCTCCGTTTGGGAAACGTCAACCTAACGTTTCATGGTGTCATTTTGGAAGCATATTTGAGCAATGGCACATACAGACCCTCTGATGCCGTGCAGGCTGGGCCATCATTGAAGCGGCTCGGAGGCTCCGGGGCTGCCTCTCACTGACTCAAGCAGCGACTGTCACAAGGAATGCGCGGCTCTTAGTACAGTGCCGGCTCTGCAGTAGGCCGGGCATCTCTTCAGTACCCGGACTGAGCAGTCTGCAGAGTAGCCAGGTAATAGTGGCTCAGTGTGGGGGAATGGGGTGGTTGGGGGCAGTGCTGAAGCTGGGGGGTGGCGGCATGTGCCCCAGACGCTGCTGGCCAGGCTAGTGGCAGATTCGATAGGGGGGAAGCAATTAATATTACTGGGGCGGGTGGCACTGCTCCCTCCACCAGCGCTGCCACTCCTGGTGGCACACCCGCATGTATGTATGTTCCGAAAGGTTGGCGCCCGCTGCCTTAACACACACAAATTTATTTAATTTTTCACTTTGTATTCCAGGAACTAAGGAAGTATCTACAAAAAATAGTGCAATATCTGCCAAAACAAACACTGTGTACATTTGTTCCAACCCCCATCTCCTCCGTTTGGGAAACGTCAACCTAACGTTTCATGGTGTCATTTTGGAAGCATATTTGAGCAATGGCACATACAGTAAAAATGGTGAGAATTTGTAATTGTTCTTTTACTAGAACATCTTCTGTTTATTGGAATTTGTTTTACATTTTCTTCTTTCCAAAGCTAAAACTTATATATTTTTAAAAATATGAATACGCTAATAGGATATAGTGCTATCAAGCCAGCAGATGGAGTTTTAGGCCACTTTTTTTCCATTATAGTTGGGTATTTCAGCTTTCATCTTAGCTAAAGGAATTTGTTTGCTGTATTCAGTCACACAGGCTGAATAAGTTGTAGGGATGACCTGTCCCTTATCTTGTAGGGATGACTGCTCAATGCAAGGTTTCCAGCTGACAAATGTATCAAAGCAGACTGCTTCTACCATGCTGTCTCTTCAGAAAACCCATAGTGTATTTAAATGTCGTGCGTTTAAATGTTTACATGTAAAAGATATTGTATACATTTACTAAATAAAGTTTGTCAATTTGATACATTAAAAAACAGAAATCAAATCTTAAAGGAGAACTATGGGGTTAAGGCTTTTCCCCATAGTTCTCAGGGTAACGGGAGGACACAAACTAGCGTCCTCCCGTCACCCTAGGCTCAGTATACCGCAAGCTACTGCTGCTCACGGTATACTGAGACGCTGCAGCGGATCACGAGAATTATGTCTGGATCCACCCAGCTGCGTGACTGACAGCTGGCTCTGCCTATCTAGAGGCAGAGCCAGCTGAACCCGCCCCTCTTCCATCCGATCAGCCAGCGCTGGCGGATCGGAGCGGGGAGGGGGGAATCCAGCCCCCCCTGTCACGGCAGAGAGCTGTGACAGGATCGAGAGGTGAGCGAACGCCGGTATGTGTTCGCTTACCTCCCAATCTACTGAGCCGACCTGTGACAGTTTCATTGTCACAGGTCGGCTAGAACTACCCTGTTTCCCCGAAAATAAGACCTACCCCAAAAATAAGACCTAGTACTATTTTTGGGAAGTGCTAAAATATAAGACCTACCCCGAAAATAATACCTAGTTGTAACCATTCCCAGGGCCGGTGGTGGCATAAGAGGGAACTTGAAGAGCTGCCTCCTCTATAGCGCCGGCTCCTGTCACAGGCGGAGTGATACCAAATGCTCTCCGCCTGTGAGGAATCAATAGTGAAAGTGCGCTTTGCTCATTCTGGCCAGCGATTGGTTAGCAAATTGCTCTTGGAAAGGTACGGCACCCCTGATTGCCCTGATCACCATATGTGTGTACATGAAAAATGTAGACTGTTGTACATGAATACGTTTGGATTGTTGTGCATATAAAAAAAAAAAAAAATAAGACCTACCCCGAAAATAAGACCTTGTGTGTGTTTTTTGTGCCCTCAAAAATATAAGACAGTGTCTTATTTTCGGGGAAACACGGTATGAGGTGAGTGAAAAGCACTCCTTATAGTTCTCCTTTAAAGCCAAACTCCAGGAAGAAATGATAATTTACACATGGCACTGGGTGTGTACATTATCATTAAAAACCTGGGTGTTATGTGTTTGGAGGGCTGCTGCAAAATATACAGAGGACAACAAAAATATGTTCGGCGCTCTCGGAAATGACAAGGATGTTTTGGAAATTGGTGACTAAGTGGGTGGGCAGCTCTGAAGAAACAGGTGGGGGGTACTGGTGTACAATCACAAAACAAGAGCACCCTAACCTAATAGAAATGAGATTATTAAAGGGATGAAAAGAAATGGCTGTCTGTGGGAAAACTAGAAGGATCTACTTGCATGTTGCTGGTGGGGAACGCAAGTCGGACGGCCTTAGTGGAGGATGGGTGGTGTCAGCTGTAAGCTGCGATGTCTCTTCACTATAGTTGGAATGCCGTGTTGAGAACCGATTTTCCACAAGGGATCTTGTGTGAAGTACACAGGGGTTGTGAAACCAGGGATCGCTGTTTCTTGGTTAAGAAGGTTAGTAAATTGCCTCAGGGCTATTTGGGGGGGAAAAAAGAGTATCCTTGCTATGTTAGTTATCAGGTGGATTGCGACAGGGACTCAAAACTCTGTCCGTTGTCAGCGCTGAGGAAATACTGAGCGGCGGCTGGTGGTAGAAAAGCCACTGTGTAGTCATCTCGTATATGGGAGCAATGTGGATGTTGACTGAGTTCTGCCAATCTGACGGCGATATACTCGAGTGACTTGCCGGAGTCAGGCTGAAGCCACAAGTGTCAGAGGGGTTTAGTGAGAGGAGTATAGGGCGAAGGAGTAACGTGTTTCGAGGCGTACTTAACATAGCAAGGATACTCGCAGCACACAGCATTTGCGGCTCTTCTCTGCCCCAACTAGCCCTGAGGCAATTTGCTATCCTTCTTACCCAAGAAACAGCGATCCCTGGTTTCACAACCCCTGTGTACTTCACACAGCATCCCTTGTGGAAAATCTTTTCTCAACACACGGCATTCCAACTATAGTGACGAGACATCGCAGCTTACAGCTGACACCACCCATCCTCCACTAAGGCTGCCCAACGTTCGGTCCCCACCAGCAACATGCAAGTAGCTCCTAGTTTTCCAGACACCCATTTCTTTTCATCCCTTTTAATAATCGCATCGCTACATTTAATTGTTAGTGCGCTCTTGTTTTGCAAAGTATACAAAACTTACCTTCTGGGCACAGAGGAGGGGGAGAGATGTGTCTCAACCAGTGAAGTGCTCCGGTCACATCACCTGCACCCTCCTCTCTACCAGCCCATTCACAAAATGCCTTGTTTACCAGGGGGAAAAAATGCAAGGCACTCTGATTAGAGAAGCAGGGCAGGGATGTGACTACCTCTTTGCACCTTTTTTAATAAAAACGCTTAAACTACCATTTACCTAAAACATATATGTATATGACGATGTAGATTGCTCTTCCAGGATCTAAATCCTCAAATCAGTCCCTTTTAAACTATTAGACTTAAGCGAATTGTAAGATCTGAAACTGCAGAAGACCCCAGATGGCAGAGGCTTACCAAGCGTGGTGTTACACTTGCCCTGCTATATGGAGAATAAAAGGGAATGTGACTCCTTGTAATGACCACAGCAGGGGACTAGGCTCAGGAAATCTCCATCTACCATGTAGTAGGATATCAGTTTGAGGTGGACCTGTCCTTTTACTGCGTCTTGTGTCATTTTGTAATGTTGCATTCTAACCTATTTGGATCTTTTTGTTTTTTGATACAGAATCTCACTGTAGTGAAGATATTTCTCCAACCTCCTCTCCAACCCACTCTCCAACTCCTTCACCAACCACTGTGCCAGTAAACCCTAAACCAGATGTTGGGGACTATAGAGTTAATGGCTCCTCTGGGGAAGCTTGTTTATTGGCCAAAATGGGTTTGCATCTTAACTTCACCCGTGGCAAAGTAAGTGTGTAGCAATTAAATAGATGTTGCTTTGTAAAGTAATGACACATTTGTATTTAGCACTCCCAGAGGGAAACAAACGGGGACTTTAAGGTCTTCAAGAGCTGCTTCTTATGTAAAAGGAATGGAGTGTTTTTGTGCCTGTTTTCTTTGCCTGGGACAAAAGAAGAAAGGTTTCAAAAATGTTTCCTTTTCTTCAGTTATATTTAAAATACTGCATGTGAAAATGTTATATTTTTACCAAATCCATCCAGCAGGTGGAGGCCTGGGATCTGCAAGTGTCTGCCTCCGGTCCACACTACTGTGGTGTACAAAGTGTATTTGATCTGCTGTCCTGCTATCCAAACTTTAAAATAGATTTGCTTGCATTTGGGCTTTAAAAGAAATATACTGCTAGATATGTAGGATGCAGGTGCTGACTTCTGCTGCCGAAAATGCTAGTTTTCTGGCTGTAATGCTTGTTTAGTGGCTTGTTTAGTGGCTTCAGTACCTACTGAGTTACTATCTGAGATCTTTAAGAGTTTCAAAATCACTGGCTATATAAGCATTTAAATAAGACAGCCTGACAACTTATTTCTTCATAATCAATGAAAACAATATCTCCCTCCTTTCCCCCTCTCCCAACTACTTCCCGCTCTCTAGCTGCCCTTCCTTTTTAATTTATCCTGATTACATCTCTTATACAGTACATGTCTATTACCATATGTTCCTTTCAACCACTCTCTTGCTGAGGCTTCTGGCCTATTATATCTCATCACCAAGGCTGGGGTATCCCCCTACATGTCGTGCAGTATTTTTTGTTGTTTTTTTTTATTAAACAAATATGCTCTTCCAAATTAATGTTGGCTTGCTGTTTAGATATCTAATACCCTACAATTTATATTGCATATATATTTCCATTTGATACCTTGGCCTCCATTGTCCTTTGACATCTACTGTATATCTTTTTATATTGTATTTTATCTTTCCTTGTTCGAATGCTCAATTTTTTCCTGTTCTTATAATTTTTAAAGTTTAAAAGAAAAAGATTGAGGGAATGTGTGTGTGTGTTGCACAGGTAGCAAGTACAGTACTCGGTACCAGTACATGTACCGATACGTTTGAGCTCCAAGACTAGACTAGAGAAAATTTAAAAAATTAGGAGGCAGCTGTCATGTGTAAGGAGCACACGGAGCTCCTCGGATTTGTGCATCCCTGTTATAATGTACGATTTTGTTTTTATAAATAAAAATAAAGGGATGCACAGATACCAGTTTTGCGAGTACGAGTACTGGTACTTGCCGAGTACGAGTACTGGTACATTTTTGTTTATTGTGAAGTGACAGTTTTTCTAAAACAATACAGACTAATTATTTCAGGACAGTGGTGGAGCGCCAGAGCCAGGTCCCAGCTGCAACCGCTGCAACCCTGGTAATTCTCATGAAAATGCCAAGTATCTGCACTGGTACTCGAAGTATCTGTGCATCCCTCATACATACATACATACATACATACATACATACATACGCCAGAGACCACCCCATCGGTACTTCATTGGGCCGCCTCATGACTCCACGAGATGTTGAAAGGTGATGCGAGGAATCTGACACTGCACTGTTGCCCTTCTGTTGTCTTGTACCAGTCTTGCCACTCTCCGTTCTGCCCTAACATTGACTAGTCGCTGGCCACAATTCGCACGTTCAGACCCAGATTTTCGGCTGACAGTCCAGTCTTTAAACACTTTGACAACAGCTGCTCTTGAACATTTAACATATTCTGCTGTTTTGCTGATACTCGCTCCATGGCTCCGAGCACCAACAATCATCCCACGCTCAAAGGCTATTAAATCGCGTTGTTTCCCCATATCTTTAGGAAAATATCACTTCTACTGTCGTGGTAAACAACCTGCTTCCCTATTTATAATGGTCTGGCCCTCTAGGAACTTCAGCGCTAAATTATAGCTAATTTGCCTACAAACGTCAGGTGGTCATCAACATTTATTTTTGGAAAGGCTTTAATACTACTTGAAGGTAGCTTTGCTTGCCTTCAGCAGGATATGTACATTCATTTAAAGGATACACACACACACATACACACCAATATTAAAGCCTTTCCAAAAAGTTAATTTTAAAAAAAATTTTTGGGATCTACTTTTCATGTTGCACAGCATATACACTGTATTACCAAAAGTTACGGGACACCGGCCTTTACACGCACGTGAACTTTAATGGCATCCCAGTCTTAGCCCGTAGGGTTCAATATTGAGTTGGCCCACCCTTTGCCATTATAACATCTTCAACTCTTCTGGGAAGGCGTCCACAAGGTTTAGGAGTGTGTCTATGGGAATGTTTGACCATTCTTCCAGAAGCGCATTGGTGAGGTGAGGTCAGGTACTGATGTTGGACGAGAAGGCCTGGCTCGCAGTCTCCGCTTTAATTCATCCCAAAGGTGTTCTATCGGGTTGAGGTCAGGACTCTGTGCAGGCCAGTCAAGTTCCTCCACTCCAAACTCGCTCATCCATGTCTTTATGGACCTTGCTTTGTGCACTGGTGCGCAGTCATGTTGGAATAGGAAGGGGCCATCCCCAAACTGTTACTACAAAGTTGGGAGCATGAAATTGTCCAAAATATCTTGGTATGCTGATGCCTTAAAAGTTCCCTTCACTGGAACTAAGTGGCCAAGCCCAACACCTGAAAAACAACCCCACACCATAATCCCCCCTCCACCAAACTTTACACTAGGCACAATGCAGTCAGGCAAGTACCGTTCTGGCAACCGCCAAACCCAGACACATTCATCGGATTGCCAGACAGAGAAGCGCGATTCTTCACTCCAGAGAACACGTCTCCACTTCTCTAGAGTCCAGTGGCGGTGTGCTTTACACCACTGCATCCCACGCTTTGCATTGCACTTGGTGATGTAAGGCTCGGATGCAACTGCTCAGCCATGGAAACCTTCTATGAAGCTCTCTACACACTCTTGTGCCAATCTGAAGGCCACACGAAGTTTGGAGGTCTGTAGCTATTGACTCTGCAGACAGTTGGCGACTTCTGCGCACTGTGTGCTTCAGCATGCGCTTACCCCGCTCTGTCATTTTACCTGGCCTACCACTTTTGGCTGAGTTGCTGTTGTTCCCAGGTGCTTCCACTTTGTTATAATACTACTAACAGTTTACCGTGGAATATTTAGTAGCAAGGGAATTTCACAGAACACCTGAATACAAATATTTGAAGGGGTGTCCCAATACTTTTGGCAATTGTGTGTGTGTGTGTGTGTGTGTTGCTCCGGATGACAAGTGGTTAAACATGTTTTGTTGTATTTATCTTGGCAGGTGCCTTTTTATGAATTAAATATTGATCCGAAAAACATAAGTGTCGCTGGCCTGTGCGGTAATACCTCATCCACTCTGATCCTTTTCACTGATCAAGTTTACCTCTTGTTCACCTTTGTACTGGTAAGGAAAATAACCTACTGACTGTGTACCTGCACTGATGATGCTGCATGTTATGCATACTTCATTATTTATACAAAAACCCTATTTGTTTTAGTGTGTGTGTATGTTTTTTTGTTTCTTTTATAGCTACATTACTTTTTGATCGTTTTTAAGAATACAATTGTATTACTATTTTATGAGTAATAACAACTCCACCCATGCATGTTGTCCAGTGTGGGTTGGTTTTGTTTTTGTTGTTGTTTTTATTACCTTTTGAAAGTACGGAGTCAGGATCTTAGATTTTGGGAAAAGGTCTCTTCTATCCTTCCACCAGGGCGGAATTGCTTGCTATAGAACGGAGTACTCAGTGGAGAAAGTTATATTTTTTTTTTTCACTGGTCACTTTTTCATTGCTCACCTATATGTGTGAAGTTGGGTGGAGTTATCCTTTTAAATGCAGTTATATATTTTAGTATTGCTATGCTTCCTTGCAGGGTTAGTCTTGAAATTCATAGTAGAGATGTCCAAATGTCCTTCAGTATTACCATCCATTCATGTTTGTTTTGTTTCAGAACACTACTTCAAGCACATTTTTCCTTAGCCATGTCCATGTAAATGCTACTCTCCCTGATGCAAAAGGTAAGTACACATCTTGGATAAAGCAAACTTACTGCTGTAACATTGTGCTAGATCTTTGTGTGACTTCTAATAGAAGTGTTACACTTTTTAGCTTTTTTTTTCCTTTTTTGACCTCACAGATCCCAAATTTGTTGAAGACAATTCCAGCCTGTCGTACCTGCAGACCGCAGCACACAAGTCGTACAAATGTACCGCTAAAGAAACTCTACTGATAACGGGAAACTTTTCCATTGACACCTACAGCCTTCAGATCCAGGCGTTCAATATAGATGGTAACAAATTTGGTCCTGGTAAGACCCCCAGCCTTTTATTTTTTATTCACATTTGTGACCTTATTTCCCCAAGATAAAAAGGAAAGAAGTCCAGCACATCCAGCAGTTAATATTTTCTTTGTGTCATGGTAACAATTTTTGTCTTTCATCTGTGATGCCTAATGGTTTAATTCATTGTGTTTTCTAATCTTATATATGCTTGAATAGATTACATTGAGGGTAAAGGTGTGATCCTTAAATGGCAAATAAAGCCTTTCTTCATTTTGGATAGAGTAGGGCAGAGTTGGAACTAAAGTTTTTTTTTCCCCCCATCTGTGTCCCAATGGGGAGATTTATCTTCACTTCCTGCCCAATATCCACAACAGGAAGAGAGGAAATTCCTCGAGTAAAATCCCTGGTGGTCAGTAGGGGTCTCTGGAACTAATGTACCCGTTAGAAGTTTTCTCCTCTGTTGCTGTTCTGGTGACTACCCAACATTTGGCATTTTCTTTATCTTTGATTAGTCACCAGGACAAATAGAGAGGGTGAATCTTCCTAGTGGGGACACAGACGGCAAAAGAAAAACCCTGACAGGGGTTCTAATCCATCCAAATCTAAAGAGTTTTTTGGCTTTAGTTCTACTTTTAACCTCTTGCCGTCCGCCCGTAGTAAAAAAACGGACGGACGGCACTGCAGCATCTGCGGGTTGCCGTCTCCAGACGGCAATTTTTTTTTGCGCGCGCCCCCTAGCGGGCACGCACGGGCAGAAAAGACCCGTCCAATGCGAACACCCGGTACCGGGTGTTTCACATATAGGCGATCAGCGGGTCCATAGCCCGCC